GACAATGTGTTGTGACATAAAATTTTAAATAATTTGATGTTTAATTACCTCTTGAATATTATTCAAGGTTTTCTTTATAAAGTACTAATGTTTCGCACTATTATACACATAATGTTTGCTGTTCATTTTGTGCGCTATTCTTTTTTCTTCGAGATTCTATTCTATTTAAAAAAATATTTTAAATTGATTTTTAAAAAATGTTTATATCCGGACTGCACCCGCATTAGTGTTATCTAAGAATATTCGAGAAAGTTTAAGGGGAGATCACTCCCGCTTTATTTTAAAAGGTAACCAAACCAGACTTTTCTAGATATTAAGCATTCAATATATTCTAACATAATATTTGGACACAAACGACAGAGAATAGAATTTAATTTTTTTTCTGAAAATAAGAAACACATTCAAACCAAAAAAAAACATCTTCCTATTAAAACACCTGGATAGAATAAGGATAGAACCACAATATCATCCATTAGCACAATACTACATATGGTTAAACATAAAGAGCATTTTAAAATTAAACATCATAACACCACACTATGGGGGAAATGACATAGGCAGCTTTTATAAAGAAACGCTAGCAACATTCCAAGGAAACAAAAGCATTATTGGGGAAGACACAAAAAAAAAATATACGACATCCTAATCAAACAACAAGCGACACCCTTATACACGAGAATAAGTTGGGCCAGGGAACACAATATAATATACATTAAAGATACATTTAGAAACCTACATAATAAACGCATTACACCAAAAGAAAGGGAAGTAGCATACAGACTGATTTTTAATACAACTCCAGTTTCACGAAATATAAAGTCAAATCAAAATGTTAAAATAACATGTCAAACGTGTAAACAAAATATACAAGAAACTGAGAAACACATTTATTTAGATTTTATATTAGTACAGAAAGCAAAGCAAACACTTGCGAAAATATTAAACACCAGCAATCAAACAGCCACAACAAATAAAGCAATCACACTTAATTTAATTAACACAACTAGACAAAGAAAAGAAGACGAAAACATACTAGTAGCAACGGCTATTTATAGATCGACTATATGGCAAATTAGGAATAAAGTCAGATATTTTTTCACAAAATACACGGACATTGAGTTAAAAGAAATATTTCAAGCAAAGCTAAGACATAGACTGGGAACTCTCACTTAACTGAGAAAAAAAGAAATATACAGGAAAGAAAGAAATAAAGTATTAATTTTTATTTAGACAGTCTCAAGCCAAACATCACTCGATCAGCCCCCAAGTAAATTAACATTAGAACAGTCTTCTGTTTTCCGGGTGTAAAAATGCACAACCTGAATGGTAGAAAGAGATACACACCTCAACCCCCCCCCCCCCCCCCCCCAACACACACACTCCCCCCCCCCCCCACTCAACCGGACTGGCGGATATCTCAAGATAGCGTGCCCTCATTGCCAAGGGTCAATTTTATGTCATGGAAAGTTTTGGAATGATAGATCAGTATGTGTATTACAGAGACACTTCTCCCACGGTCGTTTCTATTTCTGTCCATGGGTGGCTACAATGTGAACTTTTGACTCCGGAGCACACTAAACTAAGCAGTCAAGAGAAACCTAGTTTGCACACCTTATTTTAATCTAGTTCTTATGCCATTTTATTTTCTCCATTTGATTATTATATATGCAATTGATGTTCATTGTTCATGTCTTTGATGCTGTGTAAAATCTATCAAATATATTATTATTACTGATTTAAATGTTTAAAACAATTGAATTAATAAAAAAAAAAAGAAACTGTTTGAGGACTGTACAGATATAGATGTTTGAAAGGGAAGAATGTTTGCTTTGATGTGTCTCATTTTATTAACATAACTTTTCCGATTGCTTAAAATTTGTATAATTTTAATTCTCGGTAATCCCAATTTTTTTCAGCTCTACTTAAAAACCCAAATTCCACCCCCCGTAAACCATTTTAAATGAATGAAAGCAGGTTACAAGTAAGAAAGAAATATTACTATTGTAAATCTGTATCAGTCCTCACAAGCCGATGATGAAAACTGTAATACTAAAGCGAACACACAACTGACGCTATAAATTACGTGTCTGAGGCGAAAAAAAAAAAGAAAAAAAAAAAAAGAAAACACAAACAAGCACTAATATATTCAATTCAGAAAAAAAAAATTCAGCGTTTTCTGCCGGCGAAGGCGCCTGTAGTCTACTTTAAAGGGAAGTCATTCACTGTAATTTATAACCTATAGCCCTCAGTTGGGCAATACGTAACGTTTTTCTTCTTTTTATAACAAAAAGTATTTTTTACTTAATAATTAACATATAAAAACCTTTATTAATTATATTATTACTTAACATATCAAAACGTATATTAATTGACATGTTATCTAATATATAAAAGCTATATTAATTTTCTTGTTAGCTAGTATATAAAAACCTAAATTTAACGATTATCTAATCGATTTATGACTTCTAGAGTACTATATTCCAGGGGTCGGCAACCTGCGGCTCGCGAGCCGCATGCGGCTCTTTTGACCTCCAGATGCGGCTCTCCAGCTCCTTGCACAAATATTAGTAGTTATATAATTTCATTTTTACTGGACAGTGGGGTACGAGTTTACCCTGCTTTCAGTGGGGTGGAAGATAAGCCTGGTGAGAACCAAAGGATAGAAGCAAACGATGCAAGTTATTCAAACCGATATCCAAGCCAGTTAGTCGGCGTTTGCCGTATTGAGACCTGACTGGCTAATGGGAGACCCTAATCCTAATCAAATACGGAATATTGAACTAAAAATGTTGTGGCTCTTTAAAAACTGGGAAAGTTTTAAATTGTAGCTTCTGGCTCTAGCGTATCAAAAGGTTGCCGACCCCTGGTCTACACCAAATACACGTCAGTAGATATAACTTACACCGTGAACCAAAACAAAACAAGTATACGTATTCACCCACGTAGGTACTTATTTACAAAGAAATCAATCACTAATACGTTGAAACATAAAGACACCATGCCCACCTGTTCGAAAAGAAATAAATCACTAACAAGTTGAACCATAAAGTCACCATGACCACCTGGTCAAAAAATTAGAAAATTCACCAAATAACATATCACAAAACTAAAACAAAACAGTCCACATATTTTTAGAATGTTAGTAAGAAAAGTATGATAAACGATATAAAACATATGCACTAATGTTTAACATATTTACCAAAGTAAACATAACTAGGAAATAAGAAATAGTATAAATATTGCTATAATAACATTTTGTTTATAATTTTTATTTAATTTAATCTTATTGATTCATCTTTTTTTTTTTGAACGAATATGTTTCATAAAACGGTTTAAAATATTGTGTATCCATATTTATTTATGTATATCTTAGTCACTTCCCATTTTAAGTTACAATTTGACCAAGGGAAATAATTTACAATGCAGTAAATACAAGTAAAAAATATTTAATAAAACAGAATATTTACACAAGGCCTTAACATTTCAAGCACAATTTTAGAAAAGTGTTTTTTCCCTTACAATCATATCGTTGAAAATGTATTTAGTATATCGAAAACTATTATAATGCGATTCTAGTGTAAGTAGAAACCAATAGCTTTAATATGTAATTATTTAAAGACTTTTGAAAATTTCCGACTAACGTTACTGCGATGCTCCAATGATCAACTTTTCGTAATTATTTAAGCAAAACATAGTAATAAAAAAAAAAAAAAAAAAAAAAAAAACATGGTTTACTTAAATATTTAAAAGCATGTAGGCCTGGGGTCGGCAACCTACGGCTCGCGAGCCGCATGCGGCTCCTTTGATATCAAGATGCGGCTCTCCAGCTCCTTGAACAAATACTAATAATCTTAACAAAAAAATAAAATATTTGAAATAAAAATAATGTTATTGGCTCTTTAAAACCAGGGAAATTTTGAAAATTTTAACTTTTGGCTCTTCCGCTTCAAAAGGTTGCCGACCCCTGCATATTCACATTAACAATTATTAATGCGCAGGAAGTGGAATAATCCACCCACAAAGGGGTCGGCAACATTATGAGACTCAAGAGCCCAAGTGACTGTTAGCCGTCCGTATACTTTCTAGTGCACATATTCTCTCTGTTCTCTGATGAGTTTTTAGCGCAATTTCCATTCTGGAGAATTGCGTTTATTAACCCGTCATTTCTGGATGTATGAATGTATAAATGAATGGATGTGTGTCCGCAGCTTTAAGTCGTATCTCCTCCTCAACGAAGCAATATCGAGGACTAGTTCCAAAAGCAATTATGTTAAGCAAGTTTTGAGGATGAACATAGGCCAAAAAAATTCCGGGTTTCTTTCATGGATTTCCCGGAAAAGCCAAAAAACCTCGGAAAAAAATGCAGTTTTTGGCCCATATCTCGGCAACCAGACCACTTAGCGACTTGAAACATGTACCAATCGATTCCTGCCATAATTTAGAACAATATTGCCGAAGAAAGTTTTCAAGAATATCCTTTCGTTCGGTCACAAAAAAATGTTTGAATTAATTAAAATTTGGACCGAATTAGTAGGCATTTTTATCCAACCACACCACACGCGTCATCACGCTCAATAGCTGCGCCATCACGTTCAATGGCTGCGACATCACGTTCGGTAGCTAGAGGCGCAATGTTTTTAGTCATGTAACTCTATTGTAAATAAAACATGTAAAATACTGAAAAAAAATTAATAAAAAACGTTTTAATAACTAACCAATGGTTTTACTAACCCTGCTCTTGATTTACGCTACGACAGAGCTATTTGTAGATAACATATGGAAATTGCGCTTAAATGTCACTAGACTTTTTAATTAACTTGTTTTCTTCTGTTTAAACGTGTTTTTTTACAGTATAATTTTTTGTTATGAGTTTTGAAAATAAAGTAATATAACTATTAATATTTGTACAAGGAGCTGGAGAGCCACATCTTGACATCAAAAGAGCCGCAGGTTGCCGACCCCTGCCCACCTACTTCATTCTTTGTCGGCTTTGCAGGCGTATGGTTAGTGGTTTTCTAGCTAGCGACAGGAGCAGTGTGCAGCTATATGAAGACAGTGTGCAGCAAGCTGGAGACAGTGTACAGCTAGCTGGAGGCAGTGTACAGCTAGCTGGAGACAGTGTACAGCTAGCTGGAGGCAGTGTGCAGATAGCTAGGAGCAGTGTACAGCTAGCTGGAGACAGTGTACAGCTAGCTGGAGGCAGTGTACAGCTAGCTGGAGACAGTGTGCAGCTAGCTGGAGGCAGTGTACAGCTAGCTGGAGACAGTGTACAGCTAGCTGGAGACAGTGTACAGCTAGCTGGAGACAGTGTACAGCTAGCTGGAGACAGTGTACAGCTAGCTGGAGACAGTGTACAGCTAGCTGGAGGCAGTGTACAGCTAGCTGGAGACAGTGTGCAGCTAGCTGGAGACAGTGTACAGCTAGCTGGAGACAGTGTACAGCTAGCTGGAGACAGTGTACAGCTAGCTGGAGGCAGTGTACAGCTAGCTGGAGACAGTGTGCAGCTAGCTGGAGGCAGTGTGCAGATAGCTAGGAGCAGTGTACAGCTAGCTGGAGACAGTGTACAGCTAGCTGGAGGCAGTGTGCAGCTAGCTAGGAGCAGTGTACAGCTAGCTGGAGACAGTGTGCAGCTAGCTGGAGACAGTATACAGCTAGCTGGAGACAGTGTGCAGCTAGCTGGAGACAGTGTGCAGCTAGCTGGAGACAGTGTGCAGCTAGCTGGAGGCAGTGTACAGCTAGCTGGATACAGTGTGCAGCTAGCTGGAGACAGTGTGCAGCTAGCTGGAGGCAGTGTACAGCTAGCTGGAGACAGTGTACAGCTAGCTGGAGGCAGTGTGCAGATAGCTAGGAGCAGTGTACAGCTAGCTAGGAGCAGTGTACAGCTAGCTGGAGGCAGTGTGCAGCTAGCTGGAGACAGTGTGCAGCTAGCTGGAGGCAGTGTACAGCTAGCTGGAGGCAGTGTACAGCTAGCTGGAGACAGTGTACAGCTAGCTGGAGGCAGTGTGCAGATAGCTAGGAGCAGTGTACAGCTAGCTAGGAGCAGTGTACAGCTAGCTGGAGGCAGTGTGCAGCTAGCTAGGAGCAGTGTACAGCTAGCTGGAGGCAGTGTGCAGATAGCTAGGAGCAGTGTACAGCTAGCTGGAGACAGTGTACAGCTAGCTGGAGGCAGTGTGCAGCTAGCTAGGAGCAGTGTGCAGCTAGCTAGGAGCAGTGTACAGCTAGCTGGAGACAGTGTACAGCTAGCTGGAGGCAGTGTGCAGCTAGCTGGAGGCAGTGTACAGCTAGCTGGAGACAGTGTGCAGCTAGCTAGGAGCAGTGTGCAGATAGCTAGGAACAGTGTGCAGCTAGCTGGAGACAGTGTACAGCTAGCTGGAGGCAGTGTACAGCTAGCTGGAGACAGTGTACAGCTAGCTGGAGGCAGTGTGCAGATAGCTAGGAGCAGTGTACAGCTAGCTGGAGACAGTGTACAGCTAGCTGGAGGCAGTGTACAGCTAGCTGGAGACAGTGTGCAGCAAGCTGGAGGCAGTGTGCAGCTAGCTGGAGGCAGTGTGCAGCTAGCTGGAGGCAGTGTACAGCTAGCTGGAGACAGTGTGCAGCTAGCTAGGAGCAGTGTGCAGCTAGCTGGAGACAGTGTACAGCTAGCTAGGAGCAGTGTACAGCTAGCTGGAGGCAGTGTGCAGCTAGCTAGGAGCAGTGTACAGCTAGCTGGAGGCAGTGTGCAGCTATGTAGGGACAATGTGCTGGCACTAATAGCTACCGGCAGCGGCATAGAATTCCTGTTTCCTAATGGGTCATCCGAAAATGACGTCACGCTATCTCAGACCTCTTGACCACTACCACCAAAACGATTCTCTACTTAAAATGAAGTTGCAAAGTCCCACAACTGCTCTAACACCAAGTTATATAAAAAGAAATAAAACGTACCATATCGTCACAAAATGCTGACCCCCTCCCATGGTGCATGACGTCATTTACAGACGACCCCTGTTTATTGCTGAAGATTCGTTGGCTCCTCACCCACCCTGACCCACCCTGACCCACCCCACCCCAGTCTACCCACCCAAGTCCACCTATCCTGCCCCACTCCACCCCAGACCACCCACCCCAGTCCACCCCACTCACACGGAGAAGCTAAGACTTAAGTGGCTTGATTTATTAAATGGAACAGAAAACAGGCCGCTATGACGTCAGTGAATAGCTGTGAAGAGCTTTATATCACGTCAGATATCCGGGGGGGGGGGGGAACGTTGTTCGATGGAGGATGCGCGTCTGAATGGATGGGGGTATTAACTATAGGAGTCTCCAGTGTACTTTAGTGAAAACTTTTTTTGTGGAGGATTATGGGAGTCACCAGTCACAAGAACTGAGTGGGTGGTCTATGGGAGTCACCAGTCACAAGAACTGAGTGGGTGGTCTATGGGAGTCACCAGTCACAAGAACTGAGTGGGTGGTCTATGGGAGTCACCAGTCACAAGAACTGAGTGGATGGTGGACATTGAGAGTCACCAGTCTAAAGAGATGAGTGAACGTATGGCTATGAGAGTCTTTGCGTCATGGTGAGTGGCGTCAGCTTTAAATTCCACAACACAGTCGAGTCAGTGACGCGACTGTGCATTCAAGTCGAAGGTTCATTTCCCGGTCAAAATTAGAATTTTGACTTGGTCAGTAGGTCATCTATCAGGCTCTCACGTCTGATGACCTGCGCCTGGGGTCTGTCTGGAGACGTCACTCGGGCAGTGCGATGACCTTTGGGGTCACTGGGGTCACTGGGGTCACGGCATGAGGTTTGATTCCCTCTCGGCACTTCCGGGACGTAGTTATGGACGTTAGCGTAAACTAAAACAGTTCTCACTGGTCTCGTTGGTTTCTATACATGTCAATCAGTTATCCCATAACCCCGCAGGGTAGTGCTCGTGGGGTGGGGGGGGGGGAGATTGTTGGTGGGGCGCAACAGTTCTTCTGTCTTCTGCTGCTCAAAGCACTTCTGCGGCGGGCAGCCAAGTCCCATTCTTGGTGTGCCGCATTTAATGTCGTCGTTCTCTCCCTCGTCCTCTCCCTCTTGGCACTGTGCCTGCGTGAATATTTTTGATATGTCTTTGTCTCGTGTCATATGTCTATACCATCCGAGCTTCTTTGGCGATACTTAGCAGGTTCTCAGAGGGACCAATGACGTTGGTGATTTTACCACAGGCCGCTTTATTTGTTATGACATGTGTATGAGATCCTTAGGAGTCGGCGTTATCATCACATTCATACACATTTGGTAGTTTAAAAATTTTCTGCTCTAAAGGCTATAATTCTAAGCTGTTCGTAAAATCTCTTTTCCGTTTTGGTTCAGACGTTTTAGACTTCTCCAGAGCTCTATAATTGTAAACAAATGTCTTATCTTGCTCAACTTAGACCCATCTATCTAAATTTTCTTTCTAAAAACAGACAAATCAATCACTATGTTTAAAGAAGTAGATATGACCTAGAACCTTGCATAGCGACATACGCAACTCACCAAGTCAAACTTCAATAACGCTTGAAGATATATCCGACCTTGGCTAAATACAGATGTTTTTGACCTTAGCTAAAGACAGACACACTTTACCTTGGCTAAAGAGAGACAGATCCGACCTTGGCTAAAGAGAGACAGATCCGACCTTGGCTAACGAGAGACAGATCCGACCTTGGCTAAAGAGAGACAGATCCGACCTTGGCTAAATACAGATACATTTGACCTTGGCTAAATACAGATACATTTGACCTTGGCTAAAAACAAGCACATTCGACCTTGATTACTGACAGACATGTCTCACTAATTAAAATTACAATTGTCGTTGACCTTGAAAGCTGTTTGACCAGATCGCCGTAAGCGGCACGTGTTGGAGAATACAAATGACGCAACCACCGCCCCAATCACGTCCCGTCATCAAATATTAACACGGCGTTATTTTTTTAACCCTTTATTTCCCCGCCTACCGATCAGTACGACCTCCAGTTTCAAATTCTCTCAAAGTCCGAGTGACCTTGACCCGCCAGGCTTTCCCCGCAATTCATCATCCACCCGCCGTTAATTAACTTTAACCCACGCCCCCCCCCCCCCCCAACATGACGGCCATCATCAACGTTGCTTGTGCTCCTGTGTGTTCGGGCGGCGCGACATCACTCACTAGGCTAATCCCACGATGCACTGTTAACTACCATCGACGACAACTCTTGTGAACCTGTGACTGACTGCCGGGCCTTTCGCTGACCTATATCTATTATAAGATATCACGCTTGGTAGTGTGTCATTCCGTCTCATTATTCGGTATAGGCATTTGATCTGCGGCCTAGAATGTTTTGCATTTAAGATGTCAATTTCACAATGAAAATGAATTATGGACAAGGAAACAGATTAAACATTCAACATTTTACTTACGTTACACCTCCCTAAAGATGTAATGCTCGACGTGGGCGTTGAACGGGTTCACCAGATAGTATAACATCTTTACATTCGAAAACATTGTTTAGACGAGTATGTAAAAACAAGTGTAAGTGTAAGAAAAAAAACTTCCAGGATATGTTAGTGTTTCTGTGCTTATAAAAATCGTCCAGTGGTTCTCGGTTGATGTAAAGAGCCCTTTGATCACTGCATTCCAGGCGTTATTTGTTCAACCGCTGTTTCTCATTTTTGCTCTCACAGCCATTTCTTTTTACAGGTGGATAAACTGACATGGACGTAACAAAAGTGCGACCAACAGTGGGTGGGTGAGGTGTGGGGGGGGGTGAGGCAACTGTAATTGAAAAATAAGTAACTGAATTTTATTTGTTGTTAGAAAACAAAATGATTCAATTGAGTTTATGTGGTAGAGCCTCTATCCCCAATTTGAGAACCACTGCTGTGGTGTAAATTGCCAACGCCACAGTTAGCTCCGGGTGAAGGAAAGAGCCTTCCCTCAATTAGATATTTCATACGGCGAATTTGACAATTTTTCCCGCCAACATCCAGTCTAACTCTGCTGCATGCAAAGCGCGTCTGTCTTGGGATGTGCTTGAATGATGTAAATGTGTGTGTGGGGGGGGGGGGGGGGGAGGGGGATAGTTATTTCGTATGACCTCCTTGTTAGTTCATTCTCCCCCTACTGGTGAGGTGGGGGAGGGACGGGGGAGAATTCCCGTTCATCATTGACGTGACGATAAGCGAGTCATGGGATAGATTTAGTGCCAATAAATGCGCGTTCAATAGCCAGGAAATGACTACCATTGGACCAGGAACTGTTGGGGGGGAACACACAGGAACACAGGGGAACACGTATCTTGCCTGGGGTCAAGAGGTCAGGGGAGAGAAGAAATAGAGCGACAGAGGCAATAAATGACAGGGTAGCCATAGATGAGAGAGTGCCATTTATGACAAGTAGCCACACACGACAGACAGATATATGGATATATGACATACAGCCATAGATGGCAGAGTGGCATATGTAGCAACATATGACAAAGTAGCCATAGAAGACATAGTGACATTTATGACAAGTAGCAACAAATAACAATGAAGCCACATCTACTTTTTCAACTAAAAGCCGTTGGCAATGAAAAAAAAAATGAAATATTCAGATCGCATAGACTTTCACCCATTGAGATAGGTTTAAATATTTATGAAATAGGATGATTTGTCATTATGCACGTACACATAGTACTCATAGAAATGAGAGGACAAAAATGGATGAAAATTTAGACATAGTTAACAGTTATGTAGCATGTTTTATTTTAATATTTTAGGTGGCTATAGATATATAACCTAAAAAGTTATAAAAATAGTAATTCATAAATCTAAATTTTACTTTGAAGCTTAACGATAATCCGGACATCGCATTTAACTCAGCCACGGTTTATACCCTCTTGCAAAGTGACCATTCCATTAACCCTAACACAAACACCATTCATACCACCCTGTAAAATCACCATTCCATTAACCCTAACACAAACACCATTCATACCACCCTGTAAAATCACCATTCCATTAACCCTAACACAAACACCATTCATACCACCCTGTAAAATCACCATTCCATTAACCCTAACACAAACACCATTCATACCACCCTGTAAAATCACCATTCCATTAACCCTAACACAAACACCATTCATACCACCCTGTAAAATCGCCATTCCATTAACCCTAACACAAACACCATTCATACCACCCTGTAAAATCACCATTCCATTAACCCTAACACAAACACCATTCATACCACCCTGTAAAATCGCCATTCCATTAACCCTAACACAAACACCATTCATACCATCCTGTAAAATCACCATTCCATTAACCCTAACACAAACACCATTCATACCACCCTGTAAAATCACCATTCCATTAACCCTAACACAAACACCATTCATACCACCCTGTAAAATCACCATTCCATTAACCCTAACACAAACACCATTCATACCACCCTGTAAAATCACCATTCCATTAACCCTAACACAAACACCATTCATACCACCCTGTAAAATCACCATTCCATTAACCCTAACACAAACACCATTCATACCACCCTGTAAAATCACCATTCCATTAACCCTAACACAAACACCATTCATACCACCCTGTAAAATCACCATTCCATTAACCCTAACACAAACACCATTCATACCATCCTGTAAAATCACCATTCCATTAACCCTAACACAAACACCATTCATACCACCCTGTAAAATCACCATTCCATTAACCCTAACACAAACACCATTCATACCACCCTGTAAAATCACCATTCCATTAACCCTAACACAAACACCATTCATACCACCCTGTAAAATCACCACTCCATTAACCCTAACACAAACACCATTCATACCACCCTGTAAAATCACCATTCCATTAACCCTAACACAAACACCATTCATACCACCATGTAAAATCACCATTCCATTAACCCCAATACAACCACCATTCATACCACCCTGTAAAATCACCATTCCATTAACCCCAATACAACCTCCATTCATAACACACTGTTAAAATCGCCACTGCATCAACCCTAATACAACCAGGATCCCTACAGAACTGTAACTAGCCTAACCCTCTGTGTGTGTGTACATCTGGCAAGCCACCGCGGTCAGACAATGGACACACACACACACACTCACACACACACACACAGACACACACACACACATTCACAAACAACCACCACGCGACATTAATTTAACAATTAACAGAAAACTTTTTTTTTCCTTTTTACCCCCACCCTCCGCCAACTTGAAACCTAAGACGAAAAAAAAAAACCAACCCTAAAAATCGAAGTGTCAAATAATTAAATTCAAATTCATCTTTTTTTATGTTGAGCTTTAAATTTTTTCCCCTCCTCCTCTTCAAAAACCTGGCAATGTAAACGTGAATTTAATTCGGATATAATGAGACAAAAAAACTTTTCACTGACATTTTTTTAAACCTTCACACTAACGGCGTTCTATACGCAATTTGTCACGTTTTTTCCTCAGCACTTTTCAACGTTTGTGCTAAAACCCATTAACCCTTTCCCACCCAAGGCTATTTTGAATGCGCACAAAAACCGGAAATGCGTGAAAAGGATAACAAGTCTTAATGATAAATACATCTTTATTTTATCAGAGAGATTTATATAAAAAAGAAACACCATTGTTTTTATTCTGTCAAGAAAAGAATAAATATAGTCTCCCGTTTTCAGTTTTAGCTGATACGAAACTTTCGTCACACAATCTCCGGAATGTTTATGGAAGCTATTGTATACAAACTTAAATCTAGATCTAGATCGAGACTCCAACAGTAGGTTTTTTTTCTCGTTGACTTTTAATTTTGTTGCCGTAATTTTAGTAAAGTAAGTTTTTTTTTTATTCATTGGTTTCAAATTATTTTGAAAATTGAATTAGTCGTTTACATTTTTTTGCGATGTCATTTAAAATAACTGTATTTTAATAGTGTACTTTTTTTCGTATTCGAATTTTTTGTTTACTGAGCGTCCTGACTATAGTTAAGTACGGGCGTCAGTAGGATTTTTCAAGTCGCTGTAATGTGGGAGAAAAACTAAAAAATTCATAAAAAACGTTTTAATAACAAGCTTTTATGTAATGATGCACTAAAAAGTAGAAAATAAATTATAGACTACTATTTAAATAACTATAAAGAAAAGCGTGGGTCACTTTAGTATCTATTGGATACCTTTACTAATGTTAAGGAAGACACCCACGCTTTTCTTTATAGTTATTTAAATAGTAGTCTATAATTTATTTTCTACTTTTTAGTGCATCATTATATAAAAGCTTGTTATTAAAACGTTTTTTATGAATTTTTTTTTCAGTACTTTACATGTTTTATCTACAATAGAGTTACATGACTAAAAACCATTGCGCGCCTACTGAATATCACGTTCAGTAGGCGCGCAATGGTTTTTGAACGCAGCCATTGCGTGGTCGTGATGGCGCAGCTATTGATGACGCGTGTGGTGTGGTTGGCTAGACATGCCTACTAATTCGGTCCAAATTTTAATTAATTCATAAAAAATCAATTAGGCATCCAATTAAGTCAAATTTAGTTTCAGATTGCATTGTCTTCATGTCTTGACCCACGTGCCAACTGTGAATCGTATCGGTCAAGTAGAACTGTCCGAATTTTCACTCCTGCGTTTCTATCTAGACTGACGACAGACAGAATGACGAGGAAGTGAGTTAAATAAAAGCTTGTAAAAAAAATTGAAATCATTGGTTTTTTTTTTAGACAGGCGCGCTGATTAATTTGTTCTTGCCTAGAGTAACTGTGTGTAGGCCTTCGGCATTTTGTTCTTGCGTAGTGTAATTGTATGGACGCAGTTTGTTCTTGCCTAGAGTCTGACTTTATGTATGGCAGTCTGTTCTTGCTAAGAGTATAACTGTATATACCGAAGTTAGTTCTTGCCTAGAGTATAACTTTATATACGGAAGTTTGTTCTTGCCTAGAGTATAACTGTATGTACGGAAGTTTGTTCTTGCCTAGAGTATAACTGTATGCACGGAAGTTTGTTCTTGCCTAGAGTCTGACTATATGCAGCAGCAGTTTCTTCTTGCCTATAATCAGACGGTATATTTTTGGCTATAAGAAAAATTGCCTGCACTCTATAGATATAAATTAAATTAAAATATTATTCTAAATTTGTATTTTTTTCTTAGCACCTGACACCCCCAGAACAGCCAAGTTGGATTAACCCATCAAGATGTAATTTATAAATGGACGCAGCCACTGGCGCCGTGAGTTTACGGCTTGGTTTGAACTTTGCCCTTTGAACCGACGAACTGAACAGCCTCCGACACTAATGAACATTCCCCGCTCAGCGCCCGCCTCTGTAGAACAGTCACGTGCTACTGACGTCATGAAATGCGTGGGTCGTTATTATGACGTCACAGAGGTGATACTGGCATACGTCATCGCCGGGGCGACGTTTGTACTCAGCCAAGCCATGGATATGCCTTTATCTGGAGGGGCAGCACTCGACATGGTAGGGCACTTGTTGTGTGTGTTCGTGTCTTGGTTGTGAGTATCGATACTGTAGGGCACTGTGTTTTGTGTGTTCGTGTATTGGTTGTGGGTATCGATACTTTAGGGCACTCTTTTGTGTGTGTTCGTGTCTTGGTTGTGAGTATCGATACCGCAGGGTACTGCGTTGTGTGTGTTCATGTATTGGTTGTGGGTATCGATACTTTAGGGCACTCTTTTGTGTGTGTTCGTGTATTGGTTGTGAGTATCGATACTTTAGGGCACTTTTGTGTGTGTGTTCGTGTATTGGTTGTGAGTATCGATATTTTAGGGCACTGTGTTGTATGTGTTCGTGTATTGGTTGTGGTTATCGATATTGTAGGGCAATGTCTTGCTGCTGTGTATCGATACTAAAGGGCAATGTTAAGTGTTCACGTCTTGCTGCTGGTATCGATACCGGCAGGGCACAGTAATGTATGTGTTCGTGTTTGTTTTGGTTGTGAGTATCGATACTGTAGGGCACTCGTTTGTGTGTGTTCGTGTCTTGGTTGTGGGTATCGATATTGTAGGACACTGTTGTGTCTGTTCGTGTCCTTACTTCTGGGTATCGATACTGCAGGACATAGTGATGTATGTGTTCGTGTCCTTGGTGTGGGTATCGATATTGTGGGGTACGTTTAAGTGTTCATGTATTGTTACTAGGGCAATGTGAAGTGTTCGTGTGTTGTTGCTAGGTATCAATACTATAGGGCAAAATGAAGTTTTTTATGTCATGCTGCTGGGTATCGATACTCTTGGCCAATGTGAAGTGTCCATATCTTGTTACTGGGTATCGATACTGTAGGGCACTGTCACATGTTTATTCAATGGCGTCCTTTTTATGTATTCTTAATGTTAGCTTTAACAACGTGTGTTGGTACCGAGTGTGCTCTTGTAAAACATATTCGGTTGTACCACAAGGATCTGTAGGTCCAACTTTCATATAGCAACACATGTTGTCTGATCCTATGATTATTGTTAGCACTAATGTCTTACATGTATGGGCTATCGCCGAATGAAAGTATTTAGCACCTTTGTATAGGGCGTCTTTTAGGTATTATTGTTACACGCTGTTGTATGAAGTTATTAGGGTAAGTAAAAAAAAGGAATTCTCAATATGGCTAATTTCGTAAGTCATACCTTTAAGGCTTCTTTGTTGGGTAAAATTAAAACATCTTTTTTTCTCCATATATTTTTTAAAAAGGGCCCGCTACTCGAGAAATCGTAGAAATGTCTGAAAGAAACCCTACACTTAACAAACATTAATTATTAAAATACACAACTTTGTACGCTCAGACAAGGAATAAAATTAAAGAGTCGCATTTAAGGTGTACATGCATAGATTGTTTTTTTTTACTAAAACATAGACCGGCTTCTCTCCCCTTTAAATGATGCTCTCCCCTTTCTTTTATGCAGTTTCCAGTCTATCGTGTGTTTGGACAACTGCGAACTTGACCAACAAAAAACTCACTCAATAATTCATCACAGAATTGTGAATTTGACCAACAAGAAACTCACTCAATAATTCATCACTCAACTGTGAACTTGAAAAACAAGAAACTCATTCAATAATTCATCACACAACTGTAAACTTGACCAACAAGAAACTCACTCAATAATTCATCACTCAACTGTGAACTTGAAAAACAAGAAACTCACTCAATAATTCATCACCCAAATAGCTCGCACTGGCATGTGTGAGATAAAATTAACTCATTTAAAACCAAACGTTTCAGTTTCGTCGGGGGAAAAAACAGCAACCCACACACTGACCCTTTTCGGCCCCACCCCCACACCCCACACCCCACCCCTTTTTTCGTTAAATTCCAAACCAGGAGGCCGGTTCTTGTGTCGTTTGAAATTGATTTTCACAGTTTGTCACCGACTGAGTGATAAAATCTTGACTAGCTTTTGAAGGTTGACAGGAAATTGAAACATTCATACGCGATGCATCAAGATTAGTAACTAAACATTCCTCCCTCCTTACCCAACCCACCCCACCCACTGAAAAACGAATCAGGAATTAAAACTTCATGAAAACGAAACCTTTACCAAAAAAAAAAAAGAAAAAAAAAAAAAAAGAAAATTTCTCTTGAAGTTAAGCTTCAGCAGATATTAAACCATCACCAAACCCAAATTAACTCAAACATTAACATCGATAGGAGCTTAACGTCACAGATAGCCCACCTCAAAATAGCCGCATCCAGAAATAAAGGTTTACTCTTTTAAGCCTAAATTACTCCCCAAAACCTTACAATCAAGGGGCTCTATAAATCAATAGACGTAGCGAGACGTCTTTGATCTAACTTCTCTACCATGGTCTCAAGCTTGAAGAAATCGTCAATCGAAAATTTTCAAACGCTTTCTCAGAGGTTCGGACCCAGGAAATCATTTCCCTAATTATATTTTAGTCACAGCTTTAAAAAAAAACGTTACTAGATTAGTGAAAAAAAAAATTAAAATTAGAAATCTCCCTACTTAGGACATTTCTGGTTATTTACCCGAAATTTTCGGCAGTGCGGACAGGGAACATTTCTGACATGTCAAATGGAATTGTGTGACATTTCAATTTGGTTTCATTGACGTTGTTCAAACCAGAACAGGACGCTGATGTAGCAGGATAATGGCTTGATGAGGGGTTGGTACAACTTGTTCCATGGCTATTTGCACGGTCTTTCACTGACGTCTACTTGTGGCTGAGAAATGGGACACTCGTGGTTGACAAATGTGACACTAGTGGCTGACAAATGTGACACTCGTGGCTGACAAATGTGACACTCGTGGCTGAGATATGTGACACTCGTGGCTGACAAATGTGACACTCGTGGCTGACAAATGTGACACTCGTGGCTGAGATATGTGACACTCGTGGCTGACAAATGTGACACTCGTGGCTGACAAATGTGACACTCGTGGCTGACAAATGTGACACTCGTGGCTGACAAATGTGACACTCGTGGCTGACAAATGTAACACGTCTGCTCGTGGCTGACAAATGTGATACTCGTGGCTGACAAATGTGACTCCATGTCATATGACATCGCGTATGACCTGACTCTCCAACGTCCTTAACATGTCTACATGACTCCACGACTCAATTACTGACCTCTGACCCAGCCATTGCTATACATATTTAAAGCTTTACTAATTAAAATCGAAAAATTATTTTAAAAAATTAACTGCACTATATAGAAGCAAGCAGACATTAATGTAGTGAGGCATAATTTATGACCTTAAGGAATGGCCGTCTTACACATCCGCAACCCCAATAGTTTCACCCACCGCTAAAATCAATTGATGAAATTTCAAAGCTCATCTGCTTGTTAAAGCTTTAAAACCACCAGCATTAAATATGGATAGACGTTTGCATATTTGATTAGGTGTAATATGAGCGACTGGTATTGCGAAATAATTTACATTTTTTAAAACTGGTAATATTTTTTTTTACTAACTTTCTGTAAAAAAACTAGATACTAGCTGGTTGACAATAGGATGTTTCAGACATTGTACAGCGAAATAGGAAGCAAACGCCATAAATAGATGGATGGCTTTTTATCAATACGTTTATTGCGGTAACTATTGGTTCTATCAATGGGACATTCCATAGTTATTAGATGTTATATGTATACTTCCGTATTTCACAACTGCACCCCACCTTCAAAGTTCTATCGCAATCACTCAACCACACCCTTCAGCCACATTCCCCAACCACATCTCTTATCAACACTACTTATCACACGCATTCAAACACACCTTCTACTAAACTATAAACATAACCCTCCACTAAACCCAACCATCACACCCTCAACAACACCATCCACCCAACCATAAACCACATCCTCTACCATAACCCTCAATTACACCCCTCCACCTCAACCCTCCATCGCACCCCTTCACCACAACCCTCCATCGCAACCTTCAACCACACCTCTACTCCACATTCTTCCACCTCTTGTTATTTTTATGTGTTAGCGTGGCTACAGTACGCCACACCCGTACACATTAAACAACACACACACACACCTGCTTCACACACCTGCCACACACACCTGCCACACACACCTGCATCACACACCTGAATCACACACCTGCATCACACACCTGCATCACACACCTACATCACACACCTGCACCAACCACACTTTCACACATTAAGTACACAACATGACAGAGTAAACATAAGTATCACCACATATGTATCACCACATACTTATCACCACATACTTATCACCACATATGCACAACCACTTACGTATCTCTACATAGGTAGCACCACATATGCATCACCACATATGCATCACAACATATGTATCACCATATATGTATCTCGGCTGTAATAAAATGTGTGTGAACTTATATTAGCACTGACAAAAATATATCCCCATAATCAATATGTGAACTTGACACCCAGTTAATTAAACTTAATTAAAATATAAATTACAATCACCAACTGGGACTCCCTAAAGAATATTTGTTCTAGACATCACAAGGGAGTTTTATACAATTATCTGACTCCTATTAATTATCGTATCTCTCGTAAGACTTAATTAATTACTTACGTTGATCTAAAACTGTCTAAAAGTCGTTCCGTAAGCGTGGCTGTGTGCGAGTTGTCAGTTTGGTAGTTCCAATAGTCGTGGCTTGGTAGGTTGGTAGGGGTATCGGACGACCAGTGTTTCTTCCAGACTTTTTTAGCGCAATTTCCATTCTGGAGAATTGCGTTTATTAACTCGTCATTTCTGGGAATGTATGGATGGATGAATGTATGGATGTATGAATATGTGTCCGGGCTTTAAGTCGTATCTCCTCCTCAACGAAGCAATATCGATGACTAGTTACAAAAGCAATTATGTTAAGCAAGTTACGAGGATGAACATAGGCCATAAAAATTCAGGGTTTCTTTCATGGATTTCCCGAAAAAGCCAAAAAACCTCGAAAAAATGCAGTTTTTTGCCCATATCTCGGCAACCAGACCACTTAGCG